ATCTTCTGTCCGATCACTCACACTCTCTCTCTCTCTCTCTCTCTCTCTCTCGCATCGGGACAACCGTCAGAAGAAGCAAACAACGCAACTCGTTCTCGTCGAACAAGAAAAAAAAATTGGAAAAGACAGAGAAGAAAGAAAAAACAAAAGGAAAGAGAGAAAGAAGTCTTCATACGCACACACGTACAATCATTAGAAAAATCATTTAAGCACCTCAAGCGTTGTGCAATGGCTCGCAAAAATTGTCTCGTTTCCCTCCACGTTTATTTGGTCGCTTCTTTGGATTGGTCAGCTGGACGAAATTTTCATTTCAAAATATATATATCCTATACACATTTGCTGCTTTCCCGTTGCCGGCCACGTGACTCGCGGTCGGCAATGGCCTTCTTATCAAGCATAACACGCGACAATCGTCGTTATATATATTTCTCTCTGCGTCTTTCGTTCGCTGTGCTTGTTTCGTTCCCTCCATTTTTCTTCCGTGTTTCTTTCTGCGTCGCGACGCCGCGCGCTGCTTTCATTTGCTAATCTACCTCGGGCCAGAAAAAAACAGAAGGAAAAATAAGCGCGAACAAAGTTTTGCTCTTTTTTTTATCTTTTATCTTTTGCTACGAGTCCAGACTCTATCACAAGGTGGCTGCGAGCTTTACAAACGGCTTGAGAGGCATCGCTTTGTCCTCTCTTTCTTCTCGTTATCACTTGTTTCTCTTTTTCGTGTTCTTCCTTTCTCTTACCTCCCGTTTACTAGAAGGATTGCTTTCTTTTCCTCCATTCATTTCGTATCGCGAGATTCCTCGAACCCTTCTGTCTCGTACCGCTCTCATCCCCATCGATCAACGCACATATACTCTCTCTCTCTCTCTCTCTCTTTCTCTCTCTCTCTCTCTCTTTCTCTCTTTCTCTCTTTCTCCCTCTCTTTCGCAGTTAATCGTTACGAACAGATCGCGGCGGTCTATATGGTCCACGGGACATTTGGCTACAGGTAACGTTACTTCTTACATATCATTTTTTTCTTGCTTTTTCGATTTTTAGGCAGCATAATACGCAAAGTTTACGGGCTACGAACATCGTGTCTTACTTTTGTTAAAGTGGAGCACATCAAAGACGGTTACACACAGTCGAATATTGACAGGCGGATGCGGCCTTTCGCGCGTGACTCGTCGTCCTTTCGCTAACCATTTATCGTCCCGCGTCTCCCTTTTGATGAGACGAGACGCGGAGCGTCCAGAACGTGTACCATTACATAGCGAAACGAATGTTTCTTGTTCGATTTTCCTTCTCCCGTTCATTCTCGTTCTTTCGTTTGTTCGGTAAACGAGGTACACGATAAATAAAGAATCCGCGATCGAATAAATATATAGATGTACGAAGAAAGTTCACCAGACGTGGACGAGTCACGCGGAGAGACCGGAAACGGAATAATTCGAAACGGAACGTCGCCGTCGATTTCGGCTCGCGACGTGCTCCGCTCGGATGAACGAGATTATTGTGGCTTTTGCAACCGGTTGGCACCTGGAATTACAGTGGCTGGAGACGGCGGACGTAAAACGCCGCGCGGTTCCTTAAACAAAACGTTACTCTAGACGCACGACCAGC